CGATGGCGCTCGTGATGCCGTTTGCAGAGCTCTCTCCTTGAACTTAATTATTTTATCTTCATTCAGGCCGAGTATGTCTTCCAACTTCTCTACGACGAGTTCAGGGTGTTCGAGAATGATTTCGTCGTCGTCACTATCGTCACTGTTGCTTTCCTCTTTAGGAAAATGACTGGCACCTCTGAGTTGGACGTCGTAGAAGTCGGCAAGGTAGGCGAGCATGGACCGGTGCCATTTAGTTTGTGGATCCCTCAAAGAGTAAAAATCGTTCGCGTTCCGAGGAAAACGTGAGGAATCAGGCTCAAGAATGCCGCGTCCAGGGCGATACACAACAACAGGTCGGATAGGGAGGGTTGGATTCTTCAAGGCATTGTTCCGCGTGAACGCTTGAGACCGGCGGATCTCGGCTTCAAGGTATTGCATCTGAACCGTGACGTCGTCTTTGAGCTCCTTAATGTCGGCTTTCAACTCCCGCTTGACTTCGTTCAACTCCTGCTTCACGTCGTCGACGGAGCATCGGATGGAAGCGAGTTCAGCATTCCAATGCTTGTCCTGGGAATTTCGTAACTCTATGTATTCGTCGCGGGAGAGGTGTTGTGACCGGTGTTTGTCGGGAGAGAAAGAGGAAACAGACGTTGCTGCCATGGTAACGGTGGTGAGAGTGGTTGTAGAAATGACCATTTGCGACGATCGGGATGGTTTGGTTGTAGGCGCTATGGCATGGCTTTGTCAGAATATGCCTTGATAGGCGCTCATGTCGGGAGGAGGTGGGCTGTTAAGTACCCATCAAAGGAGTTGTGGGATGGATGTCAGGCTTTCATTGGCTGTCTTCTCCTCGCCCGAACAGAAGACATTTAGAGTTGGGCAGCGCTTCGCACAGACCGCGACTGCCTGGAACCAAGAGTTTTTGCCCAAGGCCTGTGTAGTAACATTACAGACATTTGTGTGTGGTTTGCGAAGGCCACGATGCAGCATTATTGCATTGCACCCATCCCATCCCTCACTTTCCTGGTCACAGTCCTAAGCGGCGATGTTTCGCAATACCGGGGCAGCGTCTGCGCTGCAGTCGGGAATTACGCTCTTAGGAGACCTTGGTTTGTGTCAGAACGCTAACCTGGGGTGACTGCCTGGCCATGATGCAGTGTGATAGTCTAATCTGCCTTGTGAGTCATTGGTCACGATTCAAAACGCAGATACATTTCCGTGCCGAGCAGAGGGGCCTAGACTTGTATTCCTCCAAGTTACAGTACACAACAGGCTTCTGGTAGATGTCTACATAAGCAACTAAACAAAAAGTGCATGACAATATGCAGGAACATGAATGACGTTCAGAGCAGCACCGACCGAGATGGCTCCTGAAGGTACATATGCCGGATCTGGGACCTGTGTCCGTACGAGGTGAGGGCCAAGTTGACGCCTACGCCGGAAGGGCGCTTCAACGCGTTGCACTCACTAGCGACGCCACCTCCGAGCGCTCACTGCAATTCACTGCTCAGGAACCATGTGCAGTAGCGAGAACAAAATTTGAACAAGCAACTTGCAGAATGATCATTGTATGTAGACAATACATAGATCGAAGTGGGTGTCGCGCTTGATCCTCAGGTATTCGGCTTTCAGTGAGCTGGCCTTGTTTGCTTGACACCTGGGAGCGGAGTCCCGGTTGGCCATGTAGCCAGCTCATGTGATAGTGACCCGGCTAAGCCCAGGATCCTCGATCTAACATATGCAACAAAGCCCGCAAAAGGGATTGCGGTCCAGTGACGCGAACTTTGATCGCGGTTCCGAACCCGGACCGTGGATGCTTGGGTACACGATGGCTAGCAAGGTACCAGACTCTTGGGAATATTCCCGCCAAATTTATACAAACGCACTGCTGGGCTCCATCCATGAGCCACTGAAGCGAATTGCAGATCCGCATCAGCCGCTTTAAGCGGGGCGCATTTCGTGATTCATGATGAGGCAGGCCTACGGCAAGAAGTGTTACCTCTCCTCACGTCGCTGTGGTTGGAATAATCAAAGGCTGGTCGTAATGCGAAACACAGACTTCCAATGGCTTCAATCGCGTTCTTCAATTTTGCATTGGAGACGGATCATGCTCAAAGGTGTTTGCTCAGATTGCTTCAGTCCTTGACTAGTTTGGTGCGTGGCACAGGCCAAACACCAGCAAGGGATTGTATCGATAGTACTGTAACGAGTATATTGCTTCCTCTTTGTAGACGACTCCATCTTTCTGAGCTCGAACCTACACGAGCTGGACCTAGACTTGATCTCACTATGTACTGTCCGCGACGCTTGATAGTGGGTAATGATGGCTGTTGAAGTCAAATATGGATACCTCGAGTAGCTTTCGATGAAGTGCCCTAACTCGTACTGACACTGTCCCAACCCCACAATTTGTTTGCAAACAAGCTGCCACGGCCATTGCCAGAGGTTTAGGAAGGCCCATCATACCAGTGTTGGGCTTCTCAAATATTGAGACCATTTGCAAAACATGAGGTCAGTCAACGTGAGTAGCTCCCAGAGTCTGGGGCCAGCTATGGATCCTGTCCTTGACCAAGCCAGATGTCGTGATATTTCGGACAGCCAAAACCCGCCCCTAATGTTGATTCTGGAGGTGCTTGATTGTGGACTGCCGTTCACGCTGCTGACACTTATTCTGGACGTTGCTGAATGATGAGAATCAGTCGACGAAAGCGATTGGGTGAAGCTTGGTGCAAACAGCAGTTTGCGGCGCCATGGAAGAGTATCAGATGGGCTTCCAGCAATAACAGCAGCGATTGATGGGTGAAGAGTAGAATGGGACTCCACAGCCGGCGAACGGGGTTTGGCCTTTATCCCTGCATGTTGAAATATCTGGTTTCACCTGCAATTGCCATTCCGGACGTTTTGGGTTCGTACGGTCCAGCCTTGTGATCAGTTGACCCATCTCGGAGCCAAAAGGACCGTGAATGTTGTAAAATTAGACTCGCTGGAACAATTCCCCTGTGGCTGAGTCATCACTAGAGGCCCTGACCGATGCGCCGGGCTGTATGTACCGTACCGTACGACTGTATCCTGTGTGAACCATGGAGTCATCTTTGCCGCGGGGTCGCCGAGCCGTCTTCTGCTTACTGTAGGGCCCAACCTTTTACGGAGCTGGTGCACAACGTAAGCACCTTGATTTGCGTGGGCATTGATGACACTGTCCCCTCCGCGCTTCTGACAGACTCGCCGTGGCAAGACCTTGAGCGACTGCTTACAGAAAGGATATGATACTTCGAGTCAGCGTCTACAGTACTTGCCAGCGAGGATTTAGATGTGGACGAGACCCGATCGGTACCTTGTCAGTTTGATTACTTCTCTCAAAATCAAGTACTTTCATCACTAAACTGTCCGACCCTGAAGATTGATGTGTTGCTGACGGTCTCCGGTTACGCTGTCCAGGCTGGCCGCATCATGTGCAATGTCATCCACTGGTCACGACCACGGCTGGCAAAGTGTAATCAAACCCAACTTTCCAAAACCTGCAATGGAGCCGGTTATCATATACACATGCCTTAACCCATAACTCAGCAGATAACCGCAGAAGTAATGCTAGGTACATAGTCTAGTTACGAGCCTCACTTTTCCAGAGACACCGCTGGGTTTCAATGCATTCTTGCGATGCAACTCAGGAGATGATCCTTGTTACAGTATGCACACAGTGCTAAGCTGTCTGAACGCACAGTTTGGCTACGTCATTGCCAACGGACGTGGTCTGCGACGCGATGAGGCGAGCGGGAAAGACAGTGCTCACCGACCACGGAATACATCGCAGTTAAGGGGAGCAAAATGGAGAATGGACTCGTGCTGGTAAGAATTGATCTTGACTTTGTCGCCTACATTCCATACAGTACATCACAAACAGTCTTTTACGCTGCAATGCCACGAACGGATCAAGACGACTGTCTGCGTCTCACGCGGGTTTTGGCACGCTGGTTCTGGCACACTGGTTCTAGCACGCTGGTTCTAGCACGCTGGTTTTGGCCCGCGGGTTGTACAGTATTGTGCACATCTTGCTTTGTCTTTGGAACAGACATTGATTCTCTTGATTTGCACCACGAAGTACATAGTATTTCCGATTCTTCATACTGTCTATACGCCTCCGCGCATTAGTGGGAGGAAGAACTCATGTAGCCATCAATGGCTTGTTGCGGGCGTTGGCCATGCGCCAACTCGACCCAACAGTTTGTTTGCAGATCGACAACCCTCATTAGATGTGTGAAGAGGCTCACTAGGCAGTTTTTGCCTTCCTAGCCAATGAGAATGTGTGCAGAAAGAGAAGCATACAGTATATACTCATAAGTGTGCTGCGTTTCGCTGAGAAATCCAGTTCCATGCGATAATCCGTGTGTAAAGCATGACCCGTAGGGTCAATGCTAGATACAAGACGCAACGCGAAGAGGAAAACAGAGAGATCGCGCTGTACGAACGGCGCGCTGCTGCACAAAAGGGGCCACAGCTTCGCCATAGGTCACGATACCCTTGACAAAACCCTGGCACGCGATCCCGTGATAATCTGTCGTAAACAGGGGAGAAAAACATGTGCCTCGACTGAGTCTGATCATGGCTGAACCAAATGTGCGCTCGAAAGCTGGAAGCATACTCGATCATTCCCCCTGGCTCGCTCCATAGAATTCTTTCTGCCTCACGTCTCTGAGGACACTTGTCGAGTACGGCAAGTATTTGCTGTGTTCTACTTTGCTGCCCCAGAATAAAGAAAATGGATAAATTGGGGGGGCATGTGCCATGTATATATGTCGACCCGAGCCACATCTTGAGCCGCAGTAAAAACCATGTCGATCAGCCAGCACGGGACGCGGAGCTGGCCTACCAAAATAGAACCAATGTATGCTATCGCCTGTGTGCTAGCATCAATGTGCCCACACAATGGCTGGCAGCGCCTACTTTGTGTGCTATCTATGCTAGCATCTGTGTGCTAGCATCTGTGTGCCAGCATTCGGCTTCTCAGTAGCAGTCACCTGTTTTTCTGGTGTTGTACCCTTGGACAAGTAGTCATTGAGTTCGCGCATCGTCTTCTGGATTCACCAACGATCTGGGGTGCTGTGATGTGGATGGCAAACAGATCTGCTCGCGATATGGTGCTGCCAGAACCGCGCCCTCTAACCTCGAAACTCCGCGTCAATTACAGCGCTTGACTGTTGCAATCATCGTCGTCTCGCATGCTGCAGCTGCAGGAGGCCAACTAAGCCCCCGTCGCGAACCCGAAGATAATTGGGCAGCATGTCTCAACATTGCGGGCGTAACGCTTTTCACGACCAAGCACGAAGCGATCTACGACGCACTTTGGACTGGAGTTGTCCGCGGCACGCTTGCCACACAAGATGTCCCCCAAATACAGTACCGACTGAATGTATATCATGCATCTTTCCACACGTTCTTCTCACAATTATATGAAAAACCATCTTTCCTGTTCCATCATCATCTAACTATACGAATCCAGCGATGAGTTTTGCCTGCGTTACCTGCCTCCAAACATGGCCTTCATGGAGGTCTCGCGATCAGCATGTGGCTGCCAAGTCCCACCTGGCTCCTGAATTCGAATGCGACACTTGCGACCGTTATTGCAACAACCAACGAGCCATCGATCAGCACATGACTGCGCTGAACCATTGGGCGGATTCATCTTCTGACGAACCCGAGTACTACTGCGACTTCCACTCTTGCTCTGAGGTTTTAGATGACGAAGATGCACTTAGGGAGCATGAAGTGAATGAACACTTTTACTGCGATCCATGCGACCGAACATTCCAAGACTTGAATAGCATCAAGATGGTTCGTTACTAAACCATAGATCACAAAATCGGCCTAACTTGTGTAGCATCGCAACAGCAGAGCGCACCGCGGTAATAACGCATCCTGCCTTTTTTGCCACAAACCATACGTGACTGCGGCTGGCGTTTTCAATCACCTAGAGGAGGGAGCATGCGAAAGAGCACCATTAACTCGGCTTGGAGTTTTTCAAGCGGCCAAACAGCGTGATCCAAATGGCGTGCTCACGAAACGACTGCAAGAGCGGGCTGTGGAGGTCACTTTGGAGGCCACTACGGAATCTTGGGATCCCGTCACCAAGACTTTCAATTGCTCCCTGTGCAGCGGTCGCTTTGCAAGCCTCGAGTCGTTGAACCAACACCTCAAATCGCCCAAACACCAGCAGAGCCTCTACCACTGTCCGAAACACGGCTGCTCCAGGGAGTTTAGCACATTAGCAGCCGTCACGGAGCATTTGCAGAGTGAAAGCTGCAATTTCATGGCCTTCGAGGCTGTCCAGGAGTTTGCGGCACGAATCTTTGATCCTGGACGCATGATCACCCTTTAGACAGGCTTACGTTTGGAGAGAAGACATAGTGTCTGGTCAATATCGATTGCGAGACGGCACGGAGTGGGACATCGACGTGCTTGAGTATCGGCAAAGATAAGGAGCGGTCTTTGGACGAGGAGCTTCGAGCCATCTGGAAACTGTGTCAAACATGGAAGAGGCTCTGGAAGTGGTTCTGACGAATGCTCCCACCCTTTTTTCATGCTTTCGGTCAAGTAATCGAGCTCCGTGGCGCCTTAGGTAGTAATGAGCTCCGTAAAGGGGACGATCAGTAGATTTAGATCTCGAATAAAACTAACTCCGTTTTCTGTGTACAACCTTGCGACAGATGAAATCGAGGATGTTATCACAAAACAGAGAATCGCGTGATAGTGTCTCTGTAATATGCTTGGTTCTGTTGGGTCTTGGGAGGGTTTGTCCATGAAGCCTCTTTGGGTTGCAAGTACGTTTTTGTATCGCGGGTCACTGAATGGATCAGCCTTCTCTTCTCTCAACCTCTGGTCGCTAGGCGTTACCGAGCTAGCAGAACCAGACACTGATTGCTTGCGACTGAGAGTTGAGGAAGACATCTTCCTCGTAAGAAGACGCTCCATGCTCCAGTTCTGCTCAAACTATTGCCGCGGCATCGGCCCCTTTGCGGCCCAGTATGCTATCCAATCGATCGTCTCTTCTTTGCGACGGCGAGCAGTCTGTCGTGATCTCTTCAAAGTGCGCTCCTTCGCGGATGAGCTGGGGGCATCTGGGTGTTGGCGTCGTTTCCGACAGCCCTCTGGATGGCGTGTGTGAGCCTCTGATGTTGCTTTCGCCGAGACTGGCGCGGTGGCCAGCGGCAGCGCCGGCTGTAAACAAGGGTTTTTCGAGATGAGATTGGAGTATTCGGATCCGTCGTGTCGTGAGATGCGATGGACACTCCTTTGACGACGGTTCTTGACACGGACAGGCACTTTACCTATCCGCGGGACTAGAGGCTGCAGATTTAGCGTATGCGAGCAGTCACTGTCCACAGAAGCTTCGAGAAGGAGCTTGTAGGCCTAAAGTGCCAAAAGTGCTGGGTTAGCTCGTTTATGGCGCGCAGCGCTGTAAACCAACTACTGAGGTAACCAAGCTAAAAATAAACCATGGCTATTCTTGGCTTCCCCTGTTCAGGTGTGGCCCATAGGCCAAGACCTGCGCCGACATAGGTCACCTGGTGGAAAACGGCGACAGTGACGGCCATTTTAGGCCCAAGATCCAAGATGCTAACATTGTTGAACATTGTTCACGTTCTGTTTTAGAAGTATTTAAGCATAGACTGTCAGGCGATAACCACTCTCGCGAAAGCAATGCTCCGGAAGCCGAACATGGCACCTCAGAGTCAGCGTCTCGCCAAGAAGCGAGACAGGTCTGGTGAGAACTTTACCAAGGCAACGAAGAGTCTATTAGCACGATGCGACCGCCTAAGAGAGCGATATAAAGCCGACATTTACATTCAAGTGCGTAGGATGCACAGACACTACACGTATACTTCATCTAATGAGCCGTCCTGGCCTAAGACGAAGGCGGAGATGGTGAGTACTGCTGCAGAGCAATCGCCCAATGTTAACATTGTGAAGGAAAGGATGTACCCCGTCCCCGTGACAAGAACACCCCAAGATTTTGATAGTAAGCGAAATCGCGTATCGAGCATCCATACACTACAGGAAAGCGCAGCAGAAGAAAAGACGCCTCATGTTGCAGTGAGGGAATCGTCACACGTAGATTGTCGTAATGTTCTGGCTCTGAATCATGAAGAAGATGCATATCCGTGTGACAAGCCAGTAGGGCAGGAGACGATGTCTCCAGGAGAGCACAGCACGCGCTGCATGGAAAACCATTCAGAAGAAGTGATAGCTCAAAAGATGGATGTGGCAAAACTAGCTAGCTAAATCCAAAGCGTCTCCACAATCAATTGCCGCCCCCATTCGTGGAAGCCTCCCAAATGATCAATTCGAAGGCCTGCCTGGATTCCAGTAGCGCTGTTGAATCCCCAGAGACATCACATTTGGCAACGGGCCCATGCTATCCCGACAGCAGGGGTCAAACGGCCCTCATCACCTGTTTCCAGAGGTGGGAGACAAAGGCGCCACTCCTGACAACGACAGCCAATATGGAGCCAGGGTAGATCGCTTTGGATGGCGCGTTTGGTTCGCCCGAGCAAGCCCATTCTGGCACGCTGGCTTCGGTACCTGCTGCGCTTGGAGCTGATTCCGATGCTAGTTGGAAGCGCTTTACGGCACAGACATAAGCCATAGACACCCGTCGTTGCTTGCTAAGATCAAATTCAACCAGCAGAAAGTGGCTGTAAGTAGGTAGCCTCAAGTAGCTTTTTTTGCGAGACCCTTGTACTATCCTTAGAGCTAGGCCTAACACGACATGCTGAATGCCCCAACGAGGTGGACTCCTTTGGTTCCTTGCGCATGGGTTCCGATGGGCAAAGTGTACATTATCGACTGGCTGCGACCCGAATCGATTCTCCAGAAATGACTTTTGCTTGGAATGGACGAACACCGAGGCGTCGCCATTGAACCATGAACCACATGTCCGAGATGGATCTCTTAACTTATCGTTAGCCGCACGGGGACGATGCTCCATCCAGTTTCCACCATCACCATCTGGAGAGATTTGTGGACGTGTCCTAGTCGGATTACATCTGAGTCTCACACAAAGTCAACGACGATATTGGCCTCCGCTTGTATCAAAGCCTCCCTAGGTACTTCTGGTCTCCCATCCAGACGGTAATCAGCGTAAAGAGGACGGTCAAAGTGCACATGCTGCGTAGCTGTAATCAAGGACAGCCGCAATAACTTGAGTGCTTGCAGGAAGTGGCGTCCAGAACCCACGAGCTTTGATGGGGGATCGAGCAATGCGTTCAGACGAACGGCAAAGCATCTCACAACGCACGAATCAGCGCCTAAGCTTACGTTCCTCGAGCCTGATTACCGAGTCCTCCCTTACAACTCACGAGCTAACGCAGTCATAATCAGCTGATAGGAAGATCAATGAACGCTTCTAGTTTCCATACAGGTCAGGCCACTCTCGTAGGGAACCTGCTCAAGCAGACTCCCGCGTGTGCGGCTTTGCTTGCGCAGATTGCTGCCTAAGCGGTTGTGCGCTTAAGCGCATTCCTGCGCAGGCGACTTTGCTTGAGCTCGTTTTCACGTGGGCGGCTCTGCTTGAGCGGAATCCTGCGCAAGCAGCTTTGCCTGGGCGGCAGTTCTGCGCGAGCAGGCATGCCGAGGCAGTCTTCTGCGTACGCAGCTAATCTACTGACAGATTTCATCAGGGTCACGCCTGCCCGAGTTGAGGCAGCCACAGCGCAAGCTCCCCACTCGACCCAAATTTGGGGCAGAAGTCCATCGCGATGAAGGGTAGTGAGCACTAACGAAACCGTCCGGAAAGCGACCCGACGCAGATTGTCTAGTTTCGGGGCCGCTCTGGGGTGTGGAGAGATGCTCCACGGTCTCCTCAGAATGGGAAAAGGACCCACCGCGGGGCTGCAGTAACCATGTCAGCTACAAGGTCCATCATTGCTGGAAACTCGCGGTTGAATTGGGTACGTACGAGGTCCGTTTTCTCGCCCGTTTTCACGCCCGTGAACGCACTGGCGGAGGTCTATGTTCACGTCGTGGTATCTGGTTTGTCTGAAGATGCTATCTAGGCGGTGATGTGATTGCTGTGCGTCACTCTACGAACTAATCGTGGGCCGACTCGCTCGGCTCTCGTTTGACTCTTCTCAATCGCGAGGAAGCAGTTTGCGTCGGGGAAGCGCTCCGGCACGTCACCTATGGCCCTGATCCGTCGGGGGTATGCCAAACTATAACCGGTGTAACGAATCACAGCACCAGCAGCCCGAGGCTTCTGAGGCCTTGCAGAGGCGGCCAGGCTTGCACTGGGTTTTGGTTGCAGATGTAGGCTGCACAGGCCATTTTTTTGTGATCCGAGTGGCTCGTTGGCCAAGGCGTCCGCCGTTGCCAAGGTCGAAACTTTTGGGCCTGGCCTTGGCGAGGTTTCCAAGTATTGAAAAACGGGCGCTTCTGCCTAGACAGGCGTGCATGGCGCAAACAACAGTCTTGCAAAATATAGACAAGCGTTGAGGCAGCAATAGCGAAAGCCGGCGAGTGATGCGACCCACGGCAGCACACTCACTCCTCTTCCACAACAGCGAGCGGGAATCGAGGCGACGTGCGCTCCTTCCGAAGCCGAAGGCGACAGGTTTGCTGACTATGGTCAGCTCGCCTGTGCGTGGATGTGTTTGACCTTATCTCTGAGGAGAAGCAGCGTGCGAGTTGACGACAGGATGATTTGTTTGATTTGCACAATGTGGGCCGAGATGCTTGGGTAGCCGTAACCCAGTCCGCGCTGGAGGGCATCGGAGCCGGCGCAATGCCCTCATCTTGCGTTGATCCGTCTGGTCCTCTTTTCTGAACCGATTTTAAACCATACATTCCCGGACGATGGAAATGCGCTCGAGGGACACGATTGTGTTTCCCTAAGTAAGGGCATTGAGCTGTGGTTCGCAGTTTAGATTGGCATCTTGAAGTTCGCTGTGTCTCTGACGCTAAACCCATGGTATTGGCTCGCGTCCCGACACCCTGATTTGCATCTCGTACCGAACGTCAACTTTCGATGAATTATCACACAGCAGCCATCGCGCCATGTTGAAAGCCATCTAAATATCAAATTTATGGTATCGTTCTTGTCGCCGACTGATGCGGCCACCACACACGCCCCCAGTCGCCAAGGCTAGAAAGCAACCATTTGAAAGCAAGGTCGAGCTGGTCGGCATCCTGTACTATTAACGGAAATCCCCTTCCCGATGGGAATACAGAAGAAGATCATAGGGAAGTGAGCCTAGGCTCTTGATGGTTGTCTTGGCTTCTTCATCATCTAAAAGGTCCTCATGTACCGCACTCCTGATCAATCACCTTTGAACTGACAACAAACTTTTGGCATTCTAGTGTTCCGGAAACCGACCAGAATGTTCGCGATGTTCTATTCACAAAGTTCATTGCCAATGGGACACAAAGCCCGGGACGACGCGCCGGCAGGCTATTTTCATTCGGCTTGAAGAGCTGCAAATGCAGAACCATGACCTTCTTGAGCTGACAAGAGACCTCTGTTCACGGCCTGAATCAGAGGCTACTGAGATTTTTCACCGTCTACGGGCGACAGGCGACGCATTCTACGTCCTGAATCTTGTCCATACGGCAGATCTTCTGTCACAATTTCGGCACAGCACGACGAGTAACTCTATAGCTAGGGCTACAGGCACCTCTTGGCCGGGCGCTTGCGGAGCCATTATCGACCAGGCAGTCACAAAAGGGTCCTCTAAGAAAGAAATGTAACCCAGAGCCCTTTACGAGCGGCCAAGTGTGTAATGACGAGGAGCTAACGGATTGAAAAGATCGCTCAGCAAATGATGGCCAAACATAAGGGCAATACCTTTCTTCGCAAGAAGGTCCACTTCCAGCCGAAAAAAAGTTGCGGATAGGTTGCAACCAGAAGGCAGGACTGCATTTACTTGGTGGAGAGAGGCAACACAAATTTGAACAAGATCGTCTAGGCTTGCAATGGGAAGCAGTCTACGCGACAGCCTCTTGTTTTTTTATACGTCATAGACGGCTTGTATTGTCTTTGGGCCCGTCTTCGGTCGCGCGAACAGTCTCCGAACCCGTCTCAATTGAATACGTAGAGGTTGTGGGGGCGATCACTGACTTTCGATATCTTGTCGTGTCATTTAAAATCTCGCTCAAAATGGCCAGATCCGTTGAAATAGAGACCGACTCGCATTCTGATTTATACCAGATGCCAAGCTTCTCATAATCTGGGCAGCATAGCTGATTGGTTCGTACTCTACTGTTTGGAGGATTCTTCGACGTTGTTGAGTCGAGCGCCGTTGAAGTGTTTCGAAACACGCTACGTGGCACTAACACGATCCACCGCGTGGCAACTCTACATACGTCTTGACGCGAAGGACGCGAAGCCAGATCTAACGTCCATCATCGTCGCGAGGAAGGCAATAGAAGCGGGCGACGATCGACCATCGCGAAGGCTTTGGAAACCATCTAAGACGATCCGGTTGAACCAGCGCAGCGAGGAAAGCAGCGGGGATGCGATCAATCGGGCGATCGAGAGTGCCATGAGTGGCAGGCGGCTGACCGCCGCCCGCGGTAAGGTCCTGTTTGATGCGTGGAAGAAGTGGGAAGCGCGGAATAAGGAGGCCTACGTAGAACTTCGCGAAGCAATGGCGGAGCTGCGATCGATTAGGGACGAGCTGCAGACTGCCAGAGGAGAGCTACAATGTGTCATATGCGGTTTTCGCCCAAAGTGGCCTGGGCTCGCAAGAACGCCACTCGAGGGCAGTTACGCCGGGCAACGCGACGCTGCCGAGCCGCAGCAAAGAAAAGACAGAAGCACGGAGCTTAGCCCGACAACGCAGCAGCATATGCGAACAAGATGGTTGCAGTAGTTCTACTGGGAAACCAAGCAAGTATGACGGACTGACCTGAAACGCAGCCAGCATTCCAGCGCGACTGCGCACCGGAATGGCGAGGCTAAATTGGTACCTGCACCAGATCGGCGCAACTGCCTTGGCGCAACGCGCCTGCGAACAAGCGGCAGAAACGGTGGAGCGTTTACTCTTCCGTTGCACGCAGTGGACGGCACTACAAGGTTGAAATGCCAGAGACGGCTTGGTCGCGGCGGCTCTCAGCCTCGCTCTTGGTAGAGTCAGCTACATACCTACTCTAAAGATAGCCAGGGTCGGATGGCCTGAGAACAAGTTCGGACGGTGCGAGGACGTGCCAGGGACGTCAGTGGACAATGGTTTACAAGCTCGGACGGCCTGAGGACAAATCTGGACGTCCATGAGGACGCGACTGGGACGTCACTGGACAATAGCGCAGGCTCGGACGGCCTGAGGACAAGTTTGGAAGGCACGAGGACGCGCATGGACGGCATGAGGACAACAGTGACGGATGGCCTGAGAAGTTTCTTGGAACCTTCACGCACAAGCTCGGACGCTGAATTATCGATGGCGTAAACTTGATTATGTCAAGCTATACATCATTCCTAAACCGGAATTTCCCCCCGCTTATCATCCGTGAGGTAAAGGCAGTCGCGGCCTTTTCGCACAATTTCTCCGTAGCATTTTTCCGCCAACAGCGGGTAGCCCATCGGTGAGAAAGGTAGTACCCGGTATTGTACCATTAATTGTTGAATGATTTTTTTCGAATCGATTAGGCCCATTTTCGTCGTCAAGATTGATGTCTACATAGCGCTCATCACAATTGATTCCCCCTTGAGTGATCTGCAGTCTGACCCGCCGCGTTCTTGTATTCGTGGAATTAAGTGTGACCGTTGAATCTGCCTGCCGTGTGGCCGCATGATCCCGTGACTCTTTTGTCTGGTGGCCCTCACCCTGCCGGTGGCTGCTCGCTGGTCGGTTGCCAACTCGGTGATAGCCAGCGGGCAGCTGTCACTTAGGCAGTTTGTCCTCGATGTGGTTGCCGGTGGGCGGCTCAGCCTGAGGAGACCTTTATTCATGGTCGCCAAGGCCTCCCCTTCGGGGTGATGCAGGAAGGCCGAAAGACTACTTCCAATATGAGTGCTCCGCGATACAGATCTCCGACCTGGCGAGGTATGACGTCGTGATTTCGCCGTCGCCGTTATCACCAAGTGCATCAGCTATGCGTTGGCCAAGACTGAAGCTGCGTGTATTCTGGACGTCACGTCCGAGGCGCTTTGGGTTGGTCATTGTTGTCCTGTACTATACTAGTGTTGCGAAGATGGGTTCTAGTATCCCGCGCCGGCTGTGCATTCATCCAGGAGGAGTTTCAGCGAGGCTAAGAATTTTTGAAAGTTCCCTTGCCGTTTGAGTGTTAATCTGCGCGGCGCGACGTAGGAATGATCAGAGGCCTTGACGGTGAACTTGGAACGCATGTGAACACCTGAGCCACAATCAAGGCAAACCGGCCATGACTAGTAACTCCCACAGCTCCTCAATACTTCCAAGTCCCTGAATAACACCATGACGATGTAAGCAACTTTCACAAACGACTCTTGGCTCGTCTGTATCAATCTGTACACAAGGAGCCACGAAGAAGCAGCGCAGCAAGCTCATTAGTAACGAGCTGACTATCTCCGTTCCCAGATGCGTTTCCCTACGTCTACCTGACCGTACCACCGCAGCATTCTACCGGCGTCCTGCTACGCTAGCCCCTCTCACCGAAGTCAGTTTGGATATTGCTTTGCTTCCCCTACTGATGTATGACTGCTGGCAGCCCTTCACAGGGATATCTCATAGCCGCATCGCTTAGCTATATCTCCCAATCAGCTGTTTGTGAACAAAGTTTCCTCCCCAGCTGGTAATGAAACTCTTTCCGGACTTGTCGATGTGTTAATCCTCGGAAGCGTGAGGAATACTCTACTTGTTCATGGGTAACAAGAGCACTGCCCGAGCTGGTTCCCAGATCCACTGGAATGGCATACTGCCCGATGTCTGCACGGCGACGTAAACTGCCTGCGCGATCGAAAAACCCATACACAGCTCGAGTCGACCCGGCGGAATCCTTCGTTTCTCCAAGCCTGATGTATTTGTAGGTCATGTCAGCGGCCATCTTTGGCGCAGACGCTGTATCGGTTCTTCGACGACGTGCCAGTCAGGGCCCGGCTTCGTCGATGCTGCTTGGTCTCGACAGGGTAGCCGACTTCTTTCCGTTCTTCTTCGAGTCGTGTGGGTCGGCCAGCAAGTGTCCTTTACTACTCTTGTTAGTTATGTAGATACGTCGCAAGGCGCTGCAAACCTTTGAAGGTGCCTATATAGACTACATCATCGTCGTTCGATTCCTTAGGTGACTGTTGTCCAAAGCCCGACGTAGTTGCTGCGGTGTGCTCAACCATATTGCATGGCCTTCGCGCCTTGTGCATGATGAACTTGACAGGCCGCATGGGCAAAGAGGGCAACAGCCACCGGAAATCGGAAGGGTGACTAGGTGTTTTGATTGGGTTTAAATTGCGGGGCCGATGCGGGTCCTCGCCCTTCTTCATTGGACCAGCGAGAGATAGAGTAGGTACACAGACACAAGTGGAGCCCATCGGTTCTCTCTCCTCCAGATTTACTCCTAGCTTTTGCCCGAGGCATCCCAATCACTTCGGACCCCTGCTGAGTTTCCAATCCAGAACTGGAGCTAGCGACATCACTCTCAAACTCGGTCTTCTAGACCCACGATACGTCTATGATGTACCTTCAGTCCAGCAAGCCATGGGTGTACTACGATTCTGGAATGCTTATGGAGACAGGAAACAGAATCGAGGTACTTGGCGGAAGTGCAGGCGATTCTGGAATCGGATCTGTTCTGGAATCGAGGCCTGGCGGAAGTACTAGCGATTCTAGAATTGGATCTGTTCTGGAATCGGGGAACCTGGTGGAAGTACAAGCGATTCTGGAATCGGATCTATTCTGGAATCGAGGCCTGGCGGAAGTACAAGCGATTCTAGAATTGGATCTGTTCTGGAATCGAATCTGTTCAGGAATCGAGGTACTCGGGCTGCAGAAACACGAATCTGCTTTTTACCTTTGAAAGTGTACTATGAAGTTTCGGGAAGATTCTGGAATACCTACAGCTTTGAGGAAACAGATCCATTCCACCATTTGCAATCCCTGCAGCACTTAGAGGGACGACCTTCATTCGAGGTATTCTTGGAACTGGGCTGCGAAGTACGTACAACGAGATTCTTGCAGATGCGCGTACGCGCAAAGGAAAGGGACATGACGAAAGTACAGAACCGTCGCCACAGCTTGATAGCATACGACCCGCTTCTATGAACACACCCTGCCAATAATGGTCTAGTCTGTTTCAAAACTGCAGTCTCACTCAGGGGTATTATCAAAATCAACAAGCAGATTCCAGTCTTCGGAAACCCCAAAACCATCCTTGGAAAGCCAAAATTTGCGGCCTTCTTTCACATCGGAGAAAAGCGGAAAGGTGGGCGGCTAGTGAAACATTTCCTAGTGCGTCCGTACATGTTCCAGGGCAACCCCGCCGACAGTTTCGATTGGCTAGCTGCGGATTGTCTCACGGCTCCCTTGCGTACCCCTCTCAGCCACCCTGAAGCTGACTACTGCTGGTTTCAAGTTCGGGGAATTCTCTACGTTGCAGATGTCACGGCGGCTCCTTCTAACGCAGCGCATGTTTGCCAACGAATCCGCAGTCATCCAGAGCTTGGTCCGCCACCAAGTCCCGAATGCCGCGGCCCTTTGGTACGACGGCCGGCGGGCAGCTCCCATTGATTGAGTAGTTTGCGCAGGTAATGCTTTCTCAAGGCAGGACCCGTGGGCCATCGTTCCTGACGATGAGGTGCTCGACCCAAATACCGTTCAAGAGCGTAAGCGCAGAGGAAAGCGCAGCATGAGTCCTCCCAGTATGGTCCCAGCTGGTTGATGTGAGTGAAAACATGACACTCCAAGAATGACCTGAGCGATACCTACTTCGTGAGATCTTTTGTCCAGTTGGATGACAGCGCCGCGAAGTTCCGAGACATATTCATCGATCCTTACGCTCCATCGAGAAAAAGCAGTTGGTTGCATTCCAAAGCCGTCGAATGTCTCTGTTTTCCAGTTGACAATTGCGAGTACCCAATGATTTCTATTGTAATCTGACATTTGATCTGCCGCGTTGACGTTGATTGGCAGTACCACACCGTCAAACCCTTTGGCGAACGCAGAGGCTCCCGAGGGCAAGAACGGCTCCGAGAACTGCACAAGCAATGGGTCTATGGTGTGAAGTGTAGAAGTGCCACAAACTGATTGAAGAATGGCAAGAAGAAGAACGTCATCAACATACCGTCCTGGACAAAATTGATCCAGCCTTTGTCTGAAATGAGCTTGGTCGCGACATGACAGCCAACCAACGTGGACATGCTCGACTGCTTTATCAATCAATTTCACGATGGACCTCGAGAAAGACCCATGGCTGGTTCTCGGTTCGGTGGCAGGGTCGGGGTTGTGATCGGGGCCGACGTCGATAAAAGACGCTGCATTCGGTTCGGCCCCATACCTGGGGCTGTGCTCTGTTGTTAAGTCAACGAAACACACATCACGGGATGCCGGGTCGGCTCGGCATCCTCTGACAGTGGCACGATCGACTCCGGTCAGACTTGTATTGGTCTCTGCGAGCGATGTCGAATTCAGAGGTGCACTAAACGCTTCTTCCCTGCAGGTGACGATGGAGGAACTAGACGGTAAGCGAACGGACAGGACGCATGCTTGCGCCTCAACAAGCTTGCCAGCGTTGGGACCTATAGAAGAATTTTGTGTCGATGAGGGTTCATAGACTGGACTGACGCTCGACAATCGACCAGGCTGACTGAAGCAGTGGAGATGTCGCCGAATGGTTTCGTCAAGAAACTTGACTTCACTTTCGACTCTCGATAGGGAGCAGAAAATAGTGTTTTGTAGTGGGGAATCCGACAGAAGCGAGCGGTCGTTTGACGAGTGCTGCAAGAAATCCAGGATTGCCTGAACTCGCTTGAGAAGGACGGGAAGCATATCCAGACCGTCTTTCAGCTCGTCGCATTCCTTCTTGAACGGCATGGCTACGGTGGTTTTGCAAACCACAAGCGTTCCGCACAAGGAGTAGGCACGAATTTTCGTACATAAACGGGAAGGGTCTGATGCCGCCTCTGGGAGACAGAGACAATAAATAGAAGGCTGAGTGCAGATCAACCTTTATGCCAGTGATGGCTCACTCGTTCCCTTGTCTGCCTTATTCCTCACGGCGCTTACATTCATCCAATCACAGAGACTTCAGCCCGTCTACTAAGCGCCGCCGATTGATTGGACATGGTTGATGGTGCCGTATTGGTATCCCTCAAGGAAGACATGCTGCTTTGTGTTGCTATTTCCGTCGTTTTGACCCCTTAATGCCTAAGGCAAATATTTGTCAAAAAAGCACTGGACTTCGTATTGGAAAATGTTAAGAACGGCAGTGATGGTGGTGATACTGGTCAACATGGTTATTGTATCCCTCAAAGCGCAGCCCCAGACTGTCATCCCCCATAGGCATCCCTCAAATGCATCCCCCAAAGCGCAGCCCCCAAATGCATCCCCCAAAGCGCAGCCCCCAAATGCATCCCCTAAAGGCATCCCCCAAAGGCATCCCTCAAATGCATCCCTCAAATGCATCCCCTAAAGGCATCCCCCAAAGGCATCTCCCAAATGCATTCCCTAATGTGCATCGCTTCAAATCATCTGATAAATTGTGATTCTCTATGGCAGTCATGTCGACAACGTGTTTCAGCTCAGCGCGTCGTGCAGCTAAGTCTCCAAGCAGAAGCTGGCACCGCTCGTAAACGTACGGAAACGCATCCCTCTTAACTAGCTTGGGGCTTTGTGTGTGTTTACGCAAGAGTCCTCTGGAGTAGTGTCCTTAGGCCGTCCGAGCCTGTTCGCCGTTGTCAATGGACGTCCTGGGCATGTCCTGGTCTAGGCTTAATTGTAATAATGTGAAGGCCGAAAATAGGTGACTCGATCCAAAAGCAAAGCTGGAGGCCATCGCGACTAAACCATCGCTGACGGCCCCACATTGCCACCGATAGCACTCAAGGCCTATAACGGCATGCTCAGTACGAGAAGCACAATACTGTGTACATAATACAGTATCTCTTGTTTTTCATGCATTTCCAAATTGTGGAAAGCTGCAACGCGCTGCAACAGGCCTCCTCAATCGTCAAGTAATGGCTGGATCCTTCAATTTACATTGAAAACGAGGAGACAGGATGACATACAATAGCGGGACTAGCGAGCTGCCTTGCGGCCTACCTCAAGGAATCCATCTTCGGCTCCGGACGGTCTGTACAGCTATTCGGAAAGTCGGTGTCCTACTCACCAACAGCCTATAGATAACACAGGCGCACGAACACAATTCGTATTGGCCGTTACATACTTTACAGGTACCTTTGTACTATTCGGCTATGTATGGCGGCTAGCAAATCGGCATATGGGTGTTCAAACAGCGTATATTGTTGCTTAGCGAATAAGCTGACACCGCTAATATGCGTCCTATTTATCTAAGGAATGAAAGCATAGCCGAACCGTATCATAATAACCGGCCAGGCTAGCTTAACATAAGGAAGCCATGGCGTAAACGAGGGACCATGACTCAGGAGCAGCCGGCCAAGGTCTGACAGTTTGTCAGACCTGGACATTGCATAATCGAGGCATGCACTCAACCCTTGCTCGATCCTCTATTGCAATGTGGGATATAGGCATTGTGGCCATGAATCCCTTCTCTGTTTTAGGTTGGAGACGTAACGACAACACTACACTCGCTTCGTAGGCAATAGACCAATATGCCCAATTGCTGGCCACCACACCGTCGCCTGACACAATTTTCAAGGCTGGTGCCCAAGTAACCTCTACACGACAAGTTCAAAAGCCATCAGCTTGTGAGAGGCGAAACGCATACCAGACCACGGCGACAGCTAGAGCGAAAAGCAAAAAAATCATAGCTTGCGCACCACCTGGCCTTACACTGGCATCTTCAAATGCTTCAGTTTCTTCTTCAGCCTCCTCCAAGTACGCGCTGCCCAAGTCTTGCTCTTCTTGGTCTCGGAGGGTGAGCAGTTGCGGCAATTGTGCATCCCAATCACAATAGTCTAGCCATTTCGCCCGACGTAACAACGCCCTCCTCCGTGTCTTCGACTTTACCCCGAGTCCGAGGAAAATTTCTTCCGAATCAGGCGTTATCGGCTGGCGGTCCCCGTAGGCTAGCTCGAAGCGATATTGCGTTAGGTGCGCGATTGTTATGATGAGTACGTGTTCTTCGGCCATGGCGTAATCGGGAAAGAATCGGCTAAGCATACGTCGCTCCTCGGGCTTTACAAGTCCGAGCAAGGCGAAAACCCTATCTCTAGTTTCCTTGCATTCGGCACGGTGGTGGGCGACGAGGAGGTCGTATAGCGGTTGCATTAGTTCCGGATACCGATCAATCGTACGGCTCATAACGAGTGGCAAGGCAGGATATGACCCTGCCTTACTTCCTCAGGATCGAGGTCGTCCGATTGGGGAAACTCGTTAACATCTGCCTCTGTGCATAGGATTTCCTGGAAGTCGAACCATCTTATTCGGTTATCACTGCAATAGAGCTCGACTTCTGAACCGAGCAGGCATTCCTGGATAACCCAGAAGCGAGTCCAGTACGGGCGACTCGCGAGCTCGAGCATGGATTCTCGCCAGTCGAATCCATCGCTTTCTAGCGTCTTGACAGGAGCGAGAGTATTTCGGGGTAGTCCCTCTGGTAGAGGTATCAAACCGAGCCAAACAGAGACACAGGCAGCACTCCTGTATGTCTCGTCCATGCACCGGACTTGTGAGTTACGCTCTGCATCGTTGGCTTGGTTGATGCAAATCGCGTCGACCCAGAGGTACTCCCACTCGGTATGCCGTGAAGCAAGGCCCAAGTAATACAGACAAGACCATAGATTTGGTCTGACTGGGAAAGGTTGACCATCTAGGAAGATTATCTCGGAAGGGCTGCCGTCCCCCCAGGTGTATGAGACGGCTCTGTACTTGTGGTACTGTACCGCCGCGCGATTCACGGTGATGACTGAAAAGTGAAGGTTGCCGTGAGACAATGAGACTGGTCGGAGTAGTCGAAGGTGGTCCGAGTCGAGAGATTCGCGGTATGCCATTGGAGATAGAAGTGATCAAGATCGGAGTCTGTTGAGGGAGTATTTGAAGATAAGAGGAGTGGATTCATAACGTCTTTGCTAGTGGACATCGACCGAACAGCTATGAATTAACGATTCTGACGACGTGAGCGACTCGAGACAGACGGGGTGCACAGCAGGGCATTGTCCCACTACTGGCAAACGATTCGCTGGGCCTGTCGATAAGGCGGCCATTGCCTTAATACCCCGCAGCATCATTATCGGTGATGAGCAGAATATCATTGAAACTGGCGTGGAATCCACTCTACAAATACGATAGATCCGGGGCTATGCTTCGGATTCCGGCAGAAATGTAAGGTACCGGTTGGGTTGCTGTACCAAAGTGTCGACATACTATTGATATTTACTTTGTGAGTTATTGTCCTGCTCCTGAATTTCCTTAAGGACTTTGGACGAACGGGACACCGATTTCGCGAACACGGACAGGCAGCGTTACTTGCCCTCTCGGCTCAGCCTCCGGGCGTACCGACTGAGTGTCAAATTTGTTGGGATACACTGTGTGGGGTAGTAATCCCGCTCCCGAACTTGTCAAAATGTCTAAATGACAGGCAACCAATGTCGCAAACAGGTGTATACGGTGCTCAAGATTACTGTACGTTAACAGCACAACGTATTGTACTCCTACAATCCCAACGGTGCTTTTGCGCTATTGAGCTTCATGACAAGGAGTAGACAGAAGATCGATACTCCATGAAAATTTGTACAGTATTGTGCCGTTCGGATGTCACGCACTTCATGTGGTTTTACTTGGTCATCGGCCGCTTACTGTCTCACCTAGAGCCCGAAGGTATATCGCTTTACGAACAGCCTGTCCCATGATTCTTAACGTCAACGACTCGCGCTGGCGGGCAATGACTCTATTCCCACGGCAGTCAAAGAAGACAACGAACGTTG